TCTAACTTACGATTAAAAAAAATTGAAACACGAGAATAAACCAAACGTGTATATATTATAATGGACTAAAAATAAATAAAATTAAGTTTTTGTCGTTTAGAATAATTGGAGTGGGATTGTTGAAAATTTGGGATACCTAACGTGCAAGATGACCCCAGGCCACACCCAAATACCAAATATTAATGTTTTGTACTATTTATTATTTATCGTCTTTAAAATAGGATATATTATTTATAATAATACTAATAATTTAAGTTAATAAATTATAATACATTTAATATATCATCTAACAAATTAAATTTTTAATTTTGTTTATTTTTAGTTTAAATTTTTTTATTTTGTTTATATTTTGTTTTACATTTTTTATTTTGTTTATTTCATTTAACACAATATCCAACCAATATAATAGTTTCCATCCTCGTTAGTTTAAAGTTGAGGGTTCAAATTGCATGGTCAATCTATATGAACTAAAATGACATTTACAATACATATCCGTCGAATAATTACCAAATAACCTATGTCGTGGTATATAAGTATAAAGTTCTATGGCTGGATTAGGGATGATGACTCGACCGTTCCGATCAATCTATACTACCTAACCTAAACCATAAAGATCAAGGTTTCAGTCTTGAGTTGATTTTTTTGGAAAATCGAAAATTTAGGTCGATTTACGAATTGATATTTTTTTAGTTAGTACTAAAAAAGAAAGTTACACCCCAACCCAACTCATATACTATTAAAATTATTATGAAAAATAAAAATGTTTAGTAAATGTGAATATTTTATATTTGAAATTTAGAAAAATTTAATATTAATGTTACATGTACAGTAAATAAATATAATTTTTTAAAATAATTATACAAAAACAATAGACAACCCAACCTAACCAATAGAGGGTTGAGTTTAATTAGTTTGTGAACATAACACTTGTCGTGGTATCATATGTACAATGCTCGGTTGCTAGATACTCGCTATGTACAATAAATACAATAGTATTGAATTTAATACAGATAAAATTAAATATTTTTATAATGATATTAATTATTCGTGATTTAATTATTAAAATATAATAATAATAATAGAGCAATTAGACGTTCATTTATACTAAATCAATAGAAGTTAATAAAAAAAATAATTTTTTTAACGATTTAATAATATTTTTAAACTCTCAATAAAATAGCTATATCCTTATTTTTTTTATATGAATGGTGAGAAATTTTTAATAATATTTTTAAAAAATAACATTAATACCTTTCAATATTTGCTAACAACAGTTGTTAATGCCTGTCTAACAGCCGTCTTTCTGACATTATTAAAAAAAGCCTCGACGCCCATTCATGCATCATTTTTTTTTACTTTCTTCGATGCTGGCGAATCTGCTTCATCAAACAGTCGAAATTAGCCACCGAAAGAAGATTTTTCAGCTCCTCAATTGATCAACAGTCATTGTCCTCAATCATCGTCCCAATTAAATATATATAATTTTAAATCATTCAATAATACTTTTAAACTTGAAAATAAAAAATAATTTTGAAAGTGAAAGTAACCATTAAAAAAAATTATATATTAACAATAAAAAAAATATTATTATTATTATTATTTTGTTTTTAGAAAAGATGAGGGTGGGAATAAAATTTGAGGATTATCTCTTTTTAATATAATACTTAGTATTTTTGAACAAAATTTGAGGCTTATCTTCTTTTTTTAATATAATACTTAGTATTTTTGAATTTAAAGGTGATTTTTTAAATATGCAATTTTCGAAGTTCGAAATGGATTTTGGTTCTCACACGCGATTGTGAGCCTATAATTACCTTATGTAATTCAAGCCGTTGTCAATATCAAGGCCACACCCAGTTATATTATGACACGTGTCGAAACAAAGCCACCTATCAATCCCGAGACGTTGATTTTTGTATAAAAATATAGAGAAAAAAAATAATAGAATAAAATATATATGTTTTGTACATGTTATATTTTTATTTCTAAATTTTAAAATTAATCTAGTTTATTTATTTTAAAATGTTATATTTCTATGGTTAAATAAAGTAAAAAATATATAATTTTAATATAATGTTATATTTTTATTTCTAAATTTCAAATTTAATTTAGCTTTATTTATTTTTAAATGTTATATTTTTCTCTGTTTAAATTTGATAGGTCTCTTTTATCTATGATTATTGATTTTAACCTTTAATTAATTATTTTACATTTTTTTAATGTGATTTTCTTATTAATATAAATGTAATGAAAATTAAATCAATTTTAATCGTTTTGAATTAACTTATAAAAAATGATAGAAAATATGTATTATTAAAAATTTCAAAATAAAACAGTAAAAATTCTAAATCCTCAATATTTTAAAAATAGAATACACGGTATCAATTAATACCTAAAAATAATAAAAATATAAACTAACAATATTGAAAATAAAATAAAATATACTATTAATCAAATTATAAATAAAATATAAATTAATTAATTATTTAGAATAAAATAAAATATATTATTAATCAAATCTTAACAAAAAAAAAAAAAAAAAAAAA